GCTTCAACAAATCTTTCTAATGATATGAAAACATCTATGGTGAATAAGTAGGTTTTTCTACCTAGTTTTGTAAATGTAATACTGTATGTAATGAAGCCACTAGATAAAGTACTGTTTTACCTCTAGTGAAGTGTCAGAGTTCACAGGTGACAACAAGGAAGCATCTTGGACTCCAAAATTACCAATATCATAGTCATCATCCTTATCTCCATCATTTTCAGATTCTACATTGTTTTCTGTGTCCTGTTCAGTATGTATTAAAGAAATAGATATGAAAATCATATTGTAATTTTCAGTTACCTTTTGGAATCTGAAAAAATGTTTGTCCAAGATCACAGCAAGATATTGGACTGTTTTTTCTTCTGTTTTTCTGCTTAGGGAATTTACACATTTGTTAAATTAATAAGTTTATGGGAAGCAATTATAATTTGTATATGTTGCTTGGAACTTTCTAAAACATAATTTTATAATTTTTTTAGATGTATAAGTAAGTTTTCTCCTTTTTTATTAAGTATAAAGTCTGAAATATTATAGACTTACACATTTTGGAAGCATAACTTATGAACTTAATTGAATGAAAAAATTTTGAAATCTCTCAATTTTTATTGAGTCTCCTTTAAAAAATGTTGATTTTAGGACAACATGAAATCTCAAGTTAAATTTGACCTTGACAGTGACTCTGAAGATAAATCACATTATTCTTATGAGGTAAGATGACAATATTGTCTTATTTTCTAAGTGTTGATGATACATTTGATGTTTGCGGAAACAAAAATTATTTACACTATACACCTGAGTAATTTAATTTTAATCTTTATTTGTTGAGCATACAAAAGATTTATGTTAATACTTGGAATAAAAAAAATGGCAATTAAGAAAACTTAATATTCGCATTTGAATACAGTTTTGCATTTTCTGTTTTTCCTCTGGTAACAAGTTTAAACAAATTTTTGTATGTTTTGAAATGTAATTTTTCAGAATTGTATTTCTCCACAGTGTTGAGGTAATTGTGATATTTATATATAAGCCAAACCAAGGTCTTTCTTTGTTTAAGTGTGATGCCATGAGTGCTTGTTGCAGTTCTCAGACAGAAAAATATCAGTTACTGTTATGTGAACGTTAAGGTTAACCCAAAATTCTTGTGCTCCCATTTTTGTAGACGAGGCCTTGCCTTACGGACTTTTATTTCAAATTGATTTCATACAAATTTTTTACAAATATTCACATCAATTCAATTTTGATAGCTCTAAGACATAACCGAAACCTGAGCTCTAAGACTAAACCAAAACCTGAGCTCTAAGACTAGACCGACACCCGAGCTCTAAGATATAACCGAAACCTGAGCTCTAAGACTAAACCAAAACCTGAGCTCTAAGACTAAACCAACAACTGAGCTTTAAGACTAAATCAACACCTGAGCTCTAAGACATAACTGACACCTGAGCTCTGAGACAAAACTGACACCTGAACTCTGAAACCGAGCTCTGAGACTAAACCAAAACCTGAGCTCTGAGACTAAACTGACACCTGAGCTCTGAGACTAAACTGACACCAGAGCTCTGAGACTAAACTGACACCTGAGCTCTAAGACTAAACTGACACCTGAGCTCTGAGACTAGACTGACACCTGAGCTCTGAGACTAGACCGACACCTGAGCT